AAATAAAGATTTATTAAAGTTTCTAATCTATGGCTAAAAGACCTGACTAGCTATAAATATTCTTGGAGGAAAAAAGGTCTTCCAAAGTTCACTTTTTTAAGGCTGATGAAAGGAATATAATTAAAAGATACATTGAAAACATATAATAATTCCATCATACATTGGCAATAACTGCTGACAAACATTTTAACTCCAGTGAAATAACTGTTGTCATTTTAATATATTACACTGTTGTTGTATATAATTTTTAAGTTTTTTAAAAATAGTATCAAAGATTAGATCTATAGTCACTATAGCTTTGTTACTGTTCTTTTAGTAAGTATGTATTTCTGTATTACAGATATTGCAGCCCAGAATACACCTTTCCATCTCAGCAAGAGGTTATCCAGTTTGCCATCAATACCGCCTTTGAGGCTGTAACTCAAAACCCACGTGCTCTTGTTGTCTGTGGCACTTACTGTATCGGAAAAGAGAAAGTCTTCCTAGGTAAGTGGTAGCTGTATCTAATTTACATTAATATATTATAAAGATGAGATTCTTTTTGCATAAAGCCCCATCAGTCTCTCTGCTTACACATTTGAAACTTATTTCTTGGAATTATCCAATATTACTTTTGAAGTTGAAGGCAAATTTCATGCATTTGATACATTTATACTTGGAAAGGCTTTATAAAAATACTTGATAAGTATGTTTATCTTAGCCTTTATAATCTGTGTTTCAAAGCAAATGTCCATGTTACATTATTTTAATGAACTTTGAAAAAGGAATAAAGCATACGAGTATTATTCTTTGAGGAATCAAAAATCAGTTAATTATTTTACAGGACAGTTTTGTTTCTCAGTCATTTCTGTATGTATTTCTAGTTTGTCTAGATATCCTTATACTATTTTTGCGTAATATCTCCTGTTTCTTTTTAAGTATGGTTACATTATGTCAAATGTTGAGATATGAAATCATTAGGCCAGGGTTTTTAACTTCTCCCAAATTTAGTTTCTTTCTTTCTACATCTTTCTACAGTAGGCATTTAAAAATAAATTCTGTGGCTTTTTCACAATTTATTCCTCATAGTTAACCAATAAAATGACTGAACCATTTAAAGACATGATTTAAAAGTGTGACTGTTTTGAAATTGCTTTTATTTGATAAATTTTATTTTAAAATTTTAAGTTGCAACTTTATTTTTTCACAAACCATCATTTCACTATTTTCAACCTTTTACTTTGTCTGCAGCGATTGCTGATGTTTTAGGTTCAAAAGTGGGCATGTCTGAAGAAAAATATAAAACATTACGCTGCCTCAATATATCAGAAATTAATTCCCTCATCACTACAGACATGTATAATTCTTTGGTTCACCTTCTCCCAATGATGCAGATTAATTTTAAGGTAAGCATTCGAGAGATGGCTTTAAGGATGAGCCAGAGAAGCTAATCTGAGATTCTAAACTAGAATCGCAATTTACCTGCATTTAAGTCCAAGGCATTCAATTATAGTAGAGGGTCATCTATAGTAAAATTTGCCCTAAAATTTTTTCAAGGGAATTTTTAATGTTTCTAGTTTTTCTGTGTGTGCAGCTCTCCATAACAATGCACACACCCACCAGGGGCTGAGGAAACTGGCATTCGGGAAGGAACAGAGTAGAAAAGTATGCAGCAGTAAGCTCATTCAAACCTTCCATTTCCAAATCATTTTGCAGTCTTTCTGAGTGGGGAATGAGTGAAGAATTCTAAGTTCTTACTTTTCTTCAGATCATTCCATTCTCTATTAATAGTAAGGCTGTGTAACACTGGCATATATTGAAAATTTACTCATTTTGAAGATTAAATGAACTAGTGGGAGTAGATGCTGAGAGGAAGTTCTAGCATTAGTTCCAAGGTATAAACTAAAACACGTACAGTATGTCCCAACTGTGATTTGAGGGCTTATCTGTCAGATTTACTGATGCACTAACTGAAGTTTATTCCATTTACTAATATTTTGATACCTGGCAATGAAATATATCAAACCTGAGTGTTAAATGTGATTCAAAACATAATGCACAAAGAAATTTGTTTTCACTCTTCCTATAACATTCATGAAGTAACTTTTATGGAGGTTTTTGAAGTAGGATGCTGATTACTGTTTTTGTTTTATTGATAATACCTGTTGTGTTTTAAAACGAACAAAGCAAAAGAAATATTTGAGGTCTATTCTTTGGGTAAGGAAAATCTGCTTGGTAAATCCTCAAATAGTTAAATGTGGATGACCATGTGACCCAACAATCCCAGTCCTGTGCATATGCCCAAGAAAATTGAAAACATATCTTTACACAAAATTTCTACAGGCTTGTTTGTAGCATTATCCGAAAGTAAAAATAATCTAGGTGCCTGTAAAATAATGAGTAAATAAAATGTCACATAACCATAAAACAGTGCTATTCAAGTATGAAGGGTCATGAAGTTCTAATTCTTGCTGCTATATGCATGGACCTTGAGAACATTATACCAGATGAAAGAAGCTAGCCACCAAAGGACATGTATGGTATGATTCTGCTTACATGAAATGTTCAGAGTGTGTAAATCTGTAGAGACTGGAAGTAGGTTAGTGGTTGCAAAGTTTGAGGGAGAGGAAATGGAGCATGATGACCCGTGGTACCAGGTTTCTTTCCAGACAGTGTAAATGGTCTATAATCAGATAGTGCTGATGGTTACATAACTTTGTGAATATTATAAAAACTGCTGAATTGAAGACTTAGGAAGAAACGGGTAGTTAGCTTCCTCACAGCCAAAAGCATAAAACAAATGGTGAATGAGAAGAGAGAAGAGGGAGACCAGAAATACAGAAAGAATGTGGTTGTGAAGAGGAGTCAGATAATGTGGATGGCCTGAGGGAGCATCACAGAGAGGGGTTTGTTTAATCATTAGAAATGAGGATTTTTATGTCGAGTGATAGCAAGAAATTAAAATACATGAGATAAAGCAATAATGGATGAAGTAAGGTTTCTGAGCAGGATTTGGAATGCAACAGGTAGAGAGATTGATCACCTTTAAGCAGTTTTCTGACACCATCTGCAACTTTACAGGTTTCTGACACACATGGCCTCTTTTAGAGATCACATATTTACAAACTTAAACAAGAATTAAAGCTTCAGGCAATTGAAAACTCAAGTACAGTTTTTTATATGAGAATTCAAGTAGGTTTTAATGATTCAGAAATTTTCACTATATATATATGTATATATATATATATATATGCACACACACATAATCACATCTTGAATTGAGAGTCACTTGGTTTGTGAGTGCAAGACAAGCAAACATTTCTAAGACTTTTAACTTGATGAATGATGTCTTACAATACGACTGGTATGACATGGTAAATATCACATGATGGCAATTGGTTCTCTCTCTTTGTGTTTCTCACTCCCTGTCTCTGTGTCTCACTGCTTTAATATACAAGTGCTTTGCGTTATGAGCAGAACAAATTATTCTTACAAACGGAGGTTTTTGTGTATATGCGGCTCGTGTCCTTGGAAAAGGGATGATCTGGTGGCAAGTCAGTATTTTCAATACTAAGTTTGTATTTTACCACTTCTAGGAATTTAACTAAAAAATGAGTCCTTTGTGAGAAGATGAGTCCTTTGTTAGAAGTCAGGCTTCTAAGTGATCAGAACTAGAGAAAGCCAGAAAAGGGTAGAGAGAGCCAGGAATGGTGGTGCACAACTATACTCTCAGTACTCTGAGAGTCTGAGACAGGAAGACTGCATGTTTAGGCCCACCCTGCCTCCTGAGGAACTTAGTGAGACCCTTCCTCAAAATTAAAAAAATGAAAATGGCCTGGGAGTGTAGCTCAGTGTAAGGCCCGGGGTTCAACTCCCAGTACCCTGCCCCCGCCAAAAAGTAGACAGTTTCTATTGAAAAAGAACCAGAAGGTGGGACTTCTGCACTGTCTGCCCACTGGCTATGAGCTTCCAGAAGGTGACATCTGTGTTCTCTTTCCACTACTCTGACATTCTGGACATAATGCTGGAGAAGATAATAGACCCTCCCTTTCCTCTAGTAAAGTGACCAAGCATTGATCACTTTGAAGATTACTTAATCTTCTTTGAAGATTACTTAATCTTCAAAATACAGATGTAGTACACCAGTTATGGTGGCATACATCTATGACCCTTTCCTCAGGAGGATCACAAGTGTGAGGCCAGCCTGGGCAGAGACCCTATCTCCAGAACAAGGAAAAAAGTCAGAGATTGTGGAAAGTGATGGTTATTATGTTATATTTCAGTTAATAATTGTAGCCAATTTTTTTATCAGCCAAAAGTAGTCGTGTTGCAGATGTAATGACTTTTTATGAAAAGATAAACTTAAATTACAGTTTTGAAAGTGTCCAGGGCATTCTTTAAAGTCTTTGAAATGCTATCAATAATGATATTTGTGCTGTTTAGTTGATCCTAGAGTCCTGTATGTGTTGACTACTGCCTTAGACTTAGAACTGATTGAATGTATTAAAATACTGTAACAATAATGCTATAGATGATTATTTGCATACTGAAAAAAATATCTCCAGTGACATTGCCAAAAGCATTTTTCTCATAAACTCGTTGCTAGTAAACTGAGAGAAACAGTCATAGATTAGGGATTTTGTTTTGACTAAACTGTTTATAATAAATTTCCTCATTAGAATAGTTGGTATTGTAGAAAATGGACAATTTGTGGTTTGTTGGCAGTCTTTTTTGTAGGTTTCACTTATATGATAATCTCATAAGTTTTTGTTTGTAACACTAGGCTGTGGTAATGATGTTTTTGTGGTAACTTATAAAAAGCAAAAATAATTGTCATTTAATTCCCCCAGGTATTCAGTTATCCTGTGTTGTTTATGTTTTGTGTTACTGGGTATGAAACCCAGGACTTCTTACAGCTAGACAAGTGCTCTAGACAAGCCACTAAACTACATCCCCAGCCCACTACTGGATGTTTTTGAAGAGAAACAGGAATGGATAGACTTAATGGCATATTTTTAAAACTATATTCTTGAGTTTATGGTATTACACGCATAATTGCTTTAAACCACAGTCTCTTATTATTTCCTTTATCTGTGAAGCCAAGGTGAAAAAGAATAGTAATTAAGCAAATAATAGTGTGTTAGCTGGGGCTTAGACTTACCAAGACAAATCTTGGAAGTTTGCAGAGCCAGGGATCTTGTAATGGAAACTTTAGCATCCAAGTTTTTTTTTTCTTTTGATAGACCTAGTAGTTGGAAATAGTTTTGTGCTAGATATTCTTGTATTGGCTTTTGTGCTAGATATTCTTCTATTGGCTTTAAATTAATGAGAGGTTGTTGTTTGATAGAAAAGAGAAATCAAATGATTGTTATTTTGTTAATGAACTAAGTTTTATTATTAATTCATTCTAAGCCTTTGAAACTGTGATTTTAATCTTAAAACCAAAAGTATTAGGTTTTTGTCTTTTTTTAATCCTTTATGCCACTGTTATCTTTAATTGGATTTCTCTTAGGTTTCAAAGACTGAACTTTGGTCATTGAGTTTCTAAGTTTTATCAAATATCATCATTAATTATGACTTCAGTGTAGAGAAGTTCTATTCAAAATTTATGAGAGGAGCATAGTATTTCCAATTGTAGTGGCATAAAGAGTTTGGAAATTAATCTAGTTCGTGTCAAAAAGGCTAAAAGGAATAAACCCCTGAGAATACTATTGTACATCTTTAAAATGTGTGTCTGTTGTTGAGTATAATAGCCTTTTATAAAATTTTTTGTGTCTCTGTCTTCTGAGTTTAAATGCAGGGAGTCACATTTGCATTGATGTTTACCATTGTTAATATTAGTCTCTGAGGAGTTGGATTTCTGTAGGATTTTTTAAGCTATCTGAATCATACTTTGCTTATACATAATTACTTATTCTTCAAGTTATTTTGTCTACTTTTTTTCAGGTAATACCTACGCTTGTTTAGATAAGTGAAGTTTTTTTTTTGCAGTGACTTTATTTCTTTAAAAGTGACATTAGGTTGTCACAAGCTAATCTTATCAAATAAAAACTCCCCATGACTGTGCCAGTGTAATATCTTTAATCATTTAATTGCACATAAATTTACCTTTCCATTCCCATTAAATAGTATGCTATTTTTATTTAACAGAATTTACAAAGTCATTTGAAGAAGTATGGTGGGAAATATGACCAGATTTTGGCTTTTCGACCTACAGGATGGACCCATTCTAATAAGTTAACTTGCATAGCAGATGTTACTCCCAAAACCAAAGGAAATATTTCAATATATGGTATAGTTATTAAGTTTTCTTCTCACTTTTGATGTTGATAGTTACTTTTATGTTTTTAAAAAGTGTTGAAAAACCGAGATACCAGAAAAATAATATACTAAAGAATTTAACAATTCGAGTTTCAAATCTCACTACAGCTCTAAACCTCTGTCTAGCCCATTGTAAACTGACACAAAGGAGTAGATGAACATTGACTAACACAGATCATCTCATTTCTGTAATCAGTGATACTTCGAGGAAATTGTAGAATTATTTGAAAGTGCAGATACTATGGAAGTCTAAAAAAGGAACTCAGTCTAAATGATGCCGTGAGGTTGCAAGTGGGAAGAAGATGAATGATTGGATGTGGTGACAGGAGGAGGAGCAGACTTGACTTTGGTGTTCGCATCTCTTGGAGGAAGTTTACCATTGCCCTCCAGGCAGCTTAGTACACTGATGGCGAAAGGAAACATGTCTGGTAACATTAAACCAGTGACTCACATTAGCTTCTGAAGACCCTAGTTTACTCAAAACAGAAGCTTTCCAGTCCTTCCCTACTTGATTTTTGCTAAAGAAAATAAAGGGATTTTTAGGATTTCATTTGTTTTCTTTTTTAAATTTTTTTATATATGCAAACAGATCTTGGGACTAGAATCTGCTTGTTTGTTCTAGGAAATCAAGGGCCTACTGTTTGTTACTCCTTATATTTTATTCGTATTTCCTCTAATTTTCCTGAAATCCATAGCTGAGTTAAGTGTTTAAAGGGAAGAGTTGTTTAAAAAGAAGAAACTGCTCATTAAATAGGGCTGTCCAGAAGTGCATGTTATTAACCAAACACATAGAAAAGCAATGTATTCCAATATTTTAAATTTTATGTCCTTTTAATGTTTTAGACTTTATTATCCATAAGAGACACCAAGTTTTCTTATCGGAACTAAAGGACAAAGGAATTTTTTACAATACTCTGGATTGCTTTTCTATTTTATTTTATTCTTGAGAGTGTATTAGTTTGATTTTTTAATAGGCAGTGTTTTTTCTCTGGCCTTGCAGGAATTCCTTATAGTGAACACAGCAGCTACCTGGAAATGAAACGTTTTGTCCAATGGCTGAAGCCTCAGAAGATCATTCCTACTGTAAATGTTGGCACCTGGAAATCTCGGAGCACAATGGAGAAATACTTCAAAGAATGGAAATTTGAAGCTGGATATTGATGATACCATAGAGGACTCACGAGTAGTTATTTATCTTGGGTGTAGCTTGTTAGTAGTTAAATCTATATTAATAATGAAATACATCTTTGTGTAAACCCCTACATGAAAGTCACTCATAATTTTTCTCGTTTATGTTCAGATAACATTTGCATGTGCTGAATGGCCCTCAGCATCGTCAAAGGTAACTGCGATGAATCTCCCTAGTATCCTTAATTTTTTTTGTGTGTGTGTGTTTGCTTCCCTCCTTGGAGACAATTACATTCTGCACCCAGCCTTAGGGAAAGAAACAAAAGCAGTTTCAGGGACCAAAAGCATTCATGGTAATGGATAATTAGACGGGAAGCATTATATATAAGTAATTATGTATCTTTAAAATTACAATATAGAACTTTTATATATCATATTATTTTCAATAAAAATGATTATAAAATGTGCTATGATGTGTTGATGGATTTTGTTTTGTTTGGAACACCTTTTTTTTTAGAACACTTTTAGGTTCATAGCAAAATTGAACAGAAAGTGCAGAGTGCTATACCTCTGCCCTACCTTTATAGCCTCCTTCGTTATCATCGTTCCCCACCAGAGCAGTATCTTGAATCTCTCTAGACTCATAACCATACATAGTGCATAGTTCCCTGTTGGTGTTTTACATATGTGTAATGACACATATCAGTCACTGTAGTATCATACAAACTTCTGACTGTCCTAAAATCCTACCTGCTGTACTTAGCCCTTTCTTCGTCGTAACTGGCAGTCACTGATCTTTGTATTATCTCCCATAGTTTCGCTTTTTTCAAAATGACATATAACTGAAATCATACAGTCTACCTTTTTTGTTTGTTTTTTTAAGACAGGGTGTTGATAGGTAGTCTATGTTCACTTTGAACTCCCAGTCCTACCTCTTCCTCCCGAGGACTAGGATTATAGGCATGGGCCACCACGCCTAATAGATTGGCTTCTTACTTAGTAATGTGAATTTAAATTCTTTTTGTGTCTTTTCCTGGCTTGATAGCTCATCTTTAGTGCTGACCACTATGCCATTTCCTCAGTGTACCAGAATTTGTTTATCCACTCATCTACAAAGGACATCTTTTGGTTACTGCCAAGTCTTTACAATTATCAGTAAAACTTACAAACATCCATATGCAGTTTTTGCGTGAAACTAACTTACGAACTCCTTTGAGTATTGCTGGCTCATATGATAAGAGTATGTTTATGAGAAGCTGCCAAACTCTCTTCCAAATTGGTGTACCGTTTTGTATTCCTACTGGCAGTGGATGAGAGTTCTATTGCTCCATATCCTCTTTAGTGTTTGGTGGTGTCACACTAGATTTTGGTCATTGTAATAGGTATGGTGTCATTTCTCATTGTTTTAATTTACATTTCCCTAGTGGCATTTAGTGTGGGGCATTTTTTCATGTGCTTATTTGCTATCCATATTTCTCATTTTTGTTTTTGTTTTGGTATTGGGAATCGAACTCAGGACCTTGCACTTGCTAGGCAGGTGCTTGTGCCACTGAGCTATATCCCCAGCCCTGTATTTCTCTTTCTTGAGGTATCTGTTCAGGTCTTTTGCCCATTTTTAAATTAGGTTATTTTCTTATTGTTAAATATTAAGAATTATTTGTATATTTTGGATTACATCCTTTATCTGTTACATCTTTTGCAAATATTTTCTTCTAGTCAAGGGCTTCTCTCATTCTTTTAACAGTATCTTTCACTGAATAGAAATGTTTAAGTGTTTTTAATTTTAGTGAAGTCTAACTTGCAAAGTATTTCTTTCATGAATCATGGTTTGGATGTTGTATTTAGAAACTCATTGCCAATTCCAAGATCATCTATATTTTCTCCTATGCCTTCAGGAAGTTTTGTTTTACATTTAGCTCCATGATTCATTTTGCATTACTAATTGTAATGAGTATGTCCAGTTTAATTTTTTTTGTATGTGAATGTCCAGTTGTTTCAGCACTATTTATTTAAAAAGGCCATTCTTTCCATTTTATTGTCTTTGCTTATTTGTGTATTCTTTCATCAATATATTTTTCTTGATACCTAACTTTAGTCTCAGTCTTTCAACTTTGTCCTCTTTCAGTATTATTTTGGCTCTTCTTGCTCTTTTGCCTGCCCATATAAATTTTACAGTTTGTTCATATCCTCAAAATAACTTGCTAAAATTTTTATTACGATTGTGTTCAACTTTTAAATCAATTAGGGGCAAACTGACATCTTGACAATATTGAATCTTCTGTCTGTGAATGTGAAATATTTCTATTGCTTTTTTTCTTTATTTCATGAGAGTTTTATAGTTTTGCTCATATAAAAGTTATATCTATTTTCTTAGCATTAGTCCTAAATATTTTTTGGTGCTAACAGAAGTGGTGCTGTATTCTGAATTTCAAATTCTACTGATTCATTGCTGTTGTGTAGGAAGACAATGGACTTTTGTATATTACGTTTGTATCCTATAACTTCCTATGATTGCTCAGTTTTCTACATAAATGATCATGTCATCTATGAACAAAGGCAGTTTTATTTCTCCATTCCCAATCTGTGTGCCTTTTGTTTTCTTTTCTTCTTTTATTGTAGTAGGTAGGATTTCCATTGCAGTGTTAAAAAGGAGTGGTAAAAGGACATCCTTGTCTTATTCCTGATATTATTGGGAAGTCTTCCAGTTTCTCACTGTTAAATATGATGCTAGCAGTAGGGTTTTTATAGGTATTTTTTAATCAACATGAGGGAGTTCCCCTCTATAGTTTACTGAGAATTTTGATCATCAGGGCGTATTGGATTTTGTCGCCTGTTTGTTCTGAGTCTATTGATATGGTCATGCACTTGTCCTTGTTCAGACTTCAACGTGATGAATTATATTAACTTTCACACTAGCTTTGCACACTCAAGTTAAATTCCAATGGTTTTAATGTATAATTATATATTGTTGAACTCAATTTACTAGTATTTTGTTGAGGACTTTTACATCTATGTTCATGAGAAATACGGGTATGTAGTTCTCTTACGTCTTTGTAATAGGGTAAATGATTAGGGAGTATTCCTTCTACTTCTGTTATCTGAAAGAGATTGTAGAAAATTAGTGCAATTTCTTCCTTAAATATGTGGTAGAACTCACCAGATGGTACTTTCTGTTTTAGAAAGTTAATTATTTCTGATTTATTTAACAGCTATAGACCTAGTCAGATTGCTGTCTCCTCTTAGAGTTTTGACAGGTTGTATCATTCAAGGGATTGGCCCTTTTCATTTAGGTTATCAAATTTCTTTTGGCTGTTAGGATTTATAACTGTGACATCCATATTTTTAAAGAATTTCAATGAAAATTTAATTCAATATTTGACTTTAAAATGATGATTCAAAGTTTCCATAATCACCCAATAAAACATGCGGAAAAGTTTACATGGATGAAGTTCATCTGAATTATTTCTTCAAGACAGATAACTATAAATTGCAGATTTACTGTTTTAAAATTGAGATCATGTAACTTAAGATCTTTATCTTGTCAACATAAATTGCCTAGTTGGTCCAAAGTGAAAATTTTAGGCCAATGCATGTTTTAAAATAGTTTCTATGGCATCTAAATGGAAAATGGTTAGTGTAATGACGGTATGTGTGTGTATATGTGTATTTTTGCATTAACCATAGCACTGAAATGAATTTGCTATAGTTAATTTTTGAATAAACTATAGCACTGAAATGAATTTGGGGATTTCTTGATAGATTTTTCATACATACATTCACAGAAACTTTTCAGTAATTTTATTCATGAGAAGAATCGTATTCTTCATGAACATGAATTTTATAAGCTTGGATTTTATTTTGTTGTGGAAGTTAAGAGTTCTGAGACTCATATTTAAGGGGAGAGAAACAGAAGCATGTGGTACTGTTTATTTTCTCAGTTCAGTTACAAATTAAATTTTAATTTGTTTTGGCTTGGTGTTTTAAGCTTTTTAAAGTTAATTAGAATTATAATTAGAAAAACTAGTCTATTATAGATATTTGGTGGTTATTTAGGGTCATTTTTTCTCAATTTTTCCTAGACTTGTCATTTTTTAATTGATAAAACAGTTTCCATGACTGAATGTTTTACTCTGAGAATTCAGTCGTGTTTTAAGAGCAGCATCAGCCTTTTTACTATCCTATGTGCAAACATGTTTCTACACAAACATCATCATTTATGGCAGCTTGGAATGATTTTATTTTGCTTATTGCTGCTAAGCCTCATTTAGAGGCCATACAAAATAGTTTTTTAAATAAGTAACAACCAAAACTAATTTTTCCTGGGCCCCTTTGAGAACTATATATGAAATTCTTAGTTCTAATACTTGACACTTCAACAAGTAAATTTTTTTTTGCCTTTTCATAGTGAAATGAAAAAAACTATCACCAACCCAAAATAGATGGGTAACAGATCTTAACATCCCCCCAATACGCCCCCAAAAAAGAAAGTATAAAGAGGAAGTAGAATCAAGCCAACAACAAAGGAAATCCTTTACTTCTCCTTCAAACTTTCCAGAAAACTTCTTTACAATCTTTTCTGACATTGGACATTATATTACCAGGTCCAGTGAAATTTGAAAGGATGATTTCAATTTGTTATGAGATTGGTCTAATAGAAAAACCTTAAATCTAAATTATCACTTATTCTGTGTTTAGTAATTTGCCTAAATATGAAACTTTTTCAAGACCTCTAAATTAATTTTCTGTTCAGCTATTAAGTTATAGTCTCGTGGCTCAAGCACATCCCATACTTATTATTTAGTCCTGAGTCACCACCAATAACTAGAGAAAGAAAGTAAGCATCATCTTCAGCTTCTAGGCTTCCAGGTGATCTGAGAGAATTGATAATGTGCTTATAAGTTATCTGGTTATTTCGTTCCTGGTTTTTTTTTTTTTAGTTCATTTTGTGTAGATCTTAGAAAGTTGTCAATAAAGAAATGATTTGAAGTCAGCAAAGGAATAAGTTAGTGTTTATGAATAATAACAGTACAGGTATGAAGACTAGGAAGCTTGAACTTAGCAATCATTGTAATGGGCTACTTAGGTTTCGTTCTTCCTTTCCCCTTCATACCTACCCTGTCCTCCCAAAAGATGCACAGAGTAGAACATTCCCTTCATGACATCACAGTTCATCTTTGGATGAATCAGACATAATTTATAAAGCATCTGTTGGAGTTTCCCAAGTATACAGAACCAGTCATGAAGTTTACATTCGTTGTGGGCAATCAGTACATATATACTTGCATAACATCTCTTAATCATTTTCAGTACCCTTCTTTCCTCCATACTCTCCCACTCCAATTTAAGAGAGTATATTTTAAAGAATTTCCACATTCAACAGTATCAAGCTAATTAGTAGCAGTTTTCTCTGAAGCACTCCTTTTGAGATCCTTTCCTACTGTGAGTTGTAAATACTTGAAGGACAGGGC